GGTTTGTCAATTTTATTAATCCTTTCAAAGAACCAGCTTCTTGTCCTATTGATTCTTTCTATAGTTTTTTCGGTTTTCCATCTCATTTATTTCTGCTCTGATCTTTATTATTTCCCTTCTTTTGGTGACTGTAGGTTCCTTCTGCTGGTCTACTTCTATTTGTTGAAGGTGCTGTGTTAACGCATTGATTTTGTCTCTTTCCTCTTTTTGGATGTGTGCATTTATCGCAATAAATTGACCTCTCAGGATTGCTTTCACCGTGTCCCAGAGATTTTGGTATGTTGTGTTTTCATTCTCGTTTGTTTCTAGGAAGTTTTTGATTTCACGTTTAATTTCTCCTTTTACCCAGTCGCTTTTTAGCAGGGTGTTGTTCAGCTTCCATGTATTTGACTTTATTGATTTGGGCTTCTTATTGTTGATTTCTAGTCTTATAGCATTGTGGTCTGAGAAGATGCTTTGTAGAGTTTTGATGGTTGTGAATTTATGAAGGCTTGCTTTGTGGCCTAACACATGGTCAATTCTGGAGAATGTCCATGCGCACTGGAGAAGAATGTGTATTGTGACAATGTTGGGTAGAATGCTCTGTATATATCTATGAGGTCAAGTTGGTTGATTGTGTTGTTAAGTTCCTCTGTGGCATTGTCGAATTTCTTTCTGGTTGTTCTATCCCTTTTTGAGAGGGGTGTGTTGAAATCTCCTACTATAATTGTGGATTTATCTATTTCTTTCTTCAATTCCATTAAGGTTTGCTTCATGTATCTTGGTGCTTTCATTGGGAGCGTAAATGTTTATTATGGTTATGTTTTCTTGTTCATTTGATCCTTTGATCATGAGATAGTGTCCTTCTTTGTCTCTTATGCATGTTTTTATCTTAAAGTCTACTTTGTCGGCGATTAGTATTGCGACTCCTGCTTGTTTAGAGCTGTTGTTGGCTTGGTAAATCGTTTTCCATCCTTTGACTCTTAGTCTGTTTTTGTCTTTGTGTATAAGTTGTGTCTTTTGCAGGCAGCATATTGACGGATCTTATTTTTTTATCCATTCTGCCACTCTTTGTCTCTTCACTGGTGCATTCAGTTCATTTACACTCAATGTAATTATTGATAGGTATGAGTTGATTACTGTCATTGTGTTAGTTTTTTGGTGGTGTTGTTCATTCTTTGGTTCTGCTTACCTTCTTGTATTGGGTTTGTGTTTTTTTAGTTGATTCTGGTTGGTTTCTTCCTAGCTTCTTTGTTTGGTTGTTCTGTTTGGGAATTCATGTTCATGATCTGTTGTGGGGTGTTAACTTTCTTTGGGGTTACCTTGTAGGCTACTAGTTTTTCTCTGCATTTAGGATATTCCATTGCAACCTGTAATTTACCTGGCATCTCCACCACCTGGGCTTCTGTTGCTGCATTTGTCCCTTCTTTGACATTGATATGTTTATGTCTTTCAGTCTATCTCTGGGTTCCCTTGAGTTTGTTGTAGTCTCGTTCCGTTCTGGACTCTGCTTTCTGTTGACTGTGTTCCAGGTGCTGTTACCATACCTGTCAATCTGTTCTTGTTGTCTGTTCTTGTTGGTTCTCCATCCCCAGAACTCCCTTTAGGATGTTTTGCAGTTCTGGGTTGGTTTTGATGAATTCCCTCAGATTCTGTTTATCCTGGAATGTTTTGATTGTGCCATCATATTTGATTGATAATTTTACTGGATAGATGATTCTTGGTTGAAAGTTTTTTTCTTGCAGGGTTTTGTATATGTCTCCCCATTGCCTTCTTGCCTGCATTGTTTGTTCTGAATAGTCAGTGCTTCATCTAATTTGTTTGCTTTTATAAGTTATATTTCTCTTCTCCCTGCCCGCTCTTAGTATTTTTTCCTTGTCTTTGGTTTTAGAGAGCTTGATTATTATATGTCTTGGAGATTTTCTTTTGGGGGTCTATCCTTTCTGGGGTATGTTGGGCTTCTTGAATGTATATTTTCTCATATTTAATGATGTTAGGGAAGTTTTCCTCCAGAAGCTCTTCCACTATCTCCTCTGTAGATTTCCTTGATTCTTCTTGTTCCAGAATGCCAATAATTCTTACACTATTCCTCTTCATGTTATCCAGCATGTATCTTAGATTGTCTTCAGATTGTTTTATCTTTTTAGCTGTTTGCTGTTCTATCTTGGCTGTACTGACAGATTTGTCTTCCAGTTCGCTAGTTCTGGTTTCCATCTCTTCCAGTCTTCTCCTTTCCCCTTTCAGGCTATTGTCTATTTCTGATATCTTATTATTGATCATCTGGACATCTTTTTGCAGGTTTTGAATTGTTTCCAGTGCTGTGTCAATCCTATTAGATTGTTCCTGCAGGATTCTAATTACTTCTCCCTTGCTTTCCTCAACCCCTTTTTGGAGTATTTGAATTTGTTTCCATATCATTCTTTTGAATTCCCTCTCAGGCAAATCCAGAACCTGCTCTTCCTCCTCTATAATATCTTTGTCTGTCTCCAGCTTATTTCTATCTACTACCTTTTTCTGCTTTTGGATATGCTTCAATAATGTTAATTGTTTCTTGTTGGGTATGATTATTCTTATTTTGTTGTAATTATTATTGCTACGATCAGGAGGTAGGCGTCTGATGACATCCGAGAGTCACCGTGTTTCTGCTGCTCTCTGTGCACTGGATAAACTTTTTTCTTTTTTCTTTCTGCCTGCTACACGCCTTGAGATTTCAAGCTAGGGCAGAGAACTCTCCTATGGCTTTTGTCCACTTGAGATTCTCCGTTTGGGCTGGCTCCAGCCCTGCTCTCAATGACCTTTGAGATTTTCTGTTCAGCTCTTGTACCTCCTCATTTCTTCCATTTGCTTTAGCATCTCTATGCTGGAGAGCAAGTTTCTGTGTCTCTTCTGACATCCATTTTGACCTTTTCCTTATTTCTTGACTTCTTAGTGACTTTTTGCTTTCTTCCTGTATGATGTTCCTCTTTAATTTGTCATTCCAGGCATAGTAAACCATATGGTTGTCAGATTCAAAATGGCCAATACCAGTCCATTTCAGCTCACTTATGCCTAAGGTATTGATGTTTATGCGTTCCATTCCATTTTTGACAATTTCTAATTTTCCTAGATTCATACTTCATACATTCCACATTTTGAGTATTAATGGATGTTTACAGCAGTTTCTCTTCATCCTGAGTTGCACCCCATCATTAAATGAATGTCTCACGGGCTTTATTCCCACGGGCTTACTCCATTTGCATCATCATGGTCAACTCTATTTTGAGGAGGCAACTCTTTCCCAGTTGCATTCTGAGTGCCTTCCGACCTGAGGAGCTTAACTTCCAGCACTATATTTGACAGTGTTTCTCTGCTATTAATAAGGTTTTCAGTGGCTAAATATTTGGAAGTAGTTTGCCACTCCTTCTTCCAAGTCTGACTTGGTTTGGAAGCTCATCTGAAACCTGTCCACTCTGGGTGACCCTGCTGGTATTTAAAATACCCGTGGCATAGCTTCCAGAGTTATAGTAACTCATAAGCCACCACAGTACGACAAAATGACAGCCGAGTTGTCTGAATTGGAGAATTCCCACAGTTGGTTGATTCTGACTCATAGGGACCCTATAGGACACAGTACAACTGCTCCTATAGAGTAGTGTGAGTACACAGGGCTATAAATCTTCATGGGAACAGACTGCCTTATCTTTCTCCCATGTAATGACTGCTGGGTTTGTACTGCTGATCTTGCAGTTAGCAGTTCAATGTTTAGCATAGTGAATCTATAATACAAAGAACATAATGTCTGCTTCCAAGCCATGAGTGACTACGGAAGACAGTAAAAGACAGAAAATAAATAGTTGAATATAGAATTATCAGAATTAGATATTAGGAACAAGGAAATGAATGATCACAAGAAAGATTTATCAAGCATTTTGTTATTGCTGTTTTTGTTAAGTGCCGTGCAACTGGTTCCAACCTATAAGCGACCCTGTATCGGGTTTCTGAGGAGCAGCTGGTGAGCCTGAGCTACCGACCCCATGGTTCAAACCAACTTTTTAGTCCAGTACATTAAACCACAGCACCATACCAAGATTTTAATCCATTTTAAAGTGCATTCTATGTTCACCTATGTGACTATGATGGTAAATCAGTGAGACATTCACAGTACAGCTTAATGTGACAAATTACATTTAAGCTTTCCATGGATTTGACTGAGAGTCATATCAGGCATGCTTATTTTGAGGGACAAATTGAACATACTATCAGATTACGTACTCTTCCTGGGTCTGTTGTAGAATACAGTCCTGCCTCTCCCAAGTATTAAGATTGATCTAGATAACTATAGAACATATGATTATGATCACTTATATTTACCCCAGGAGCTCTGGTAGCATAGTGGTTATGAGTCAGGCTGTGAACCTCAAGAAGCAGTTCGAAACTACCAGCTGTTCCATGGGAGAAAGATGAGGCTTTCTGCTCCCATAAAGATTTACAGCCTTGGAAACCCTATACAGGGTCACTATGAGTTGGACCTGACTCCACAGCACACTACCACCACCACCACCTTTACCCCATTCTCTCATTCAATTTGGAAAGAAGATCAAGAAATAATTGGAACCACCTGTGAACCATAGTCAATATATGTTTCCTAATGGAATGTGTATTTTTAACTCTTCAATGACCACCAGTCTCCTTAAATAAATACTTACATTGTCCTTTGTTTCTCTATGGCTTTTTCAAGTTTTCGAAGCTTGTTAGCCATGACATGAGCTTCTTTCTCAGCTTTGGGAGGTTTTTTACTTTTTTGCTTTTCCTCCAGAAAATCTTTTACTCTTATAGCCCATTTTTCTACATGTTTTATATTGAATCTTGAAACAAATAAAAAAAAAAAAAAAGTTTGCCTTGAGAACATACCATACATGAAATCAAATTATAAACACAAATACTGTGATCACCTTAACATACACATGTGTTTTGTTTTGTTTTTAAATAATATTTATACCAGAATGCATGTAGAAGGTATTCTAGAGCAGAGACAGACTTCTTTTATGTTTTATTTGGTAGCTTACATGGGAGAACATTAGTTTTACATTCATCCTATCGTATATCGTTTACTTGCCATGGTTACAATCTCCTCCATGCATCATCAGCCAACCAAAGGGTATGCCCTGCAAGCCTGCCCCCCAGTCATCAGCACACAACCCCTCTCCCTCTCTTGGTCTAAAGTTCCCAGCCACTCAATCTCTCTACATCATTGTCTCTGCCTCTGTCTCTGGCATCACTGCTTCTCTGGGTAGGGTCCTGCTCTCCGCTCTTCCCCCTTGGTGGTCCCAATGACATCCATGAAAGACAGACTTCTTATTAACTAGCCTAAGGTAAATGATAAGGGCAATAGCTCCCTTGCCCATACATATGTATATAAACAGATGTCTAGAAACTATCTTTTTAGTTCTGGTTGGAGCAAAAGCAATACAATTCAATGAAAATTTTTCCTGTAAGAGTGACCAGACACATCATAGGTGAAGGACAGAGAACATTTACATACAGCATGGGGACAGCTAATCTCATCCCTCTCAAAAGACAGGAAAAGCAAGATAAAACAAAATTCAAGGTTTAGACTCCTTAAAACAGAACCAAAAAGATCACATATTCTCAAACTAACCTTTTGGAATTTTCCTACTTCTTTCCAGGGAGCAGATAAACCCTGATGTCCCTGGAATTTATAATTTAGAGATATTGTGAAGGTCAAGGCTTTATATCTTTGTATGTGCATGCCAATAAAGATAACATTCCAGTCTTCTAGCACCTTGGGACTTAACCTATGGGCCTAGCTCAGGTTGAAATCATTTAGCTATCTCTGGTCAGAGAAATTTATTAGACAAATGGCTACAGAGTTAATTCTTATGATATGTGAAGAGTAAAATGCTTATTGTTGATGGTTAAGTGCCACTGAGTAGCTCTTGACTCACAGTGATCTTGTACAGAGTTTTGGAGTAGAGGCTGTTGTTATTATTATGTGCTGCTGAGTCAGTTTTGACTCATAGTAACCCTGTCTAGGGTTTTCCAATGAGTGACTATTTGGTTTGAACCCTTGTGGTTAGTAGTCTAACCCTATCAAGTTTTACCCTACAGCACCACACCAGGACCACCTATACATGCTTATGTTGTTGTAGTTAAGTGTCATGGAGTTGGTTCAGACTTACAGCGATCCTATATAGGATTTCTGAGGAGTGGTTGATGAGTTTGAACTACCAATCTTGTTGGTAGCATTTGTTGTTGTTGTTGTTGTTGTTGTTAAGTGCCGTGGAGTCGGTTCCGACTCATAGCGACCCTGCACAGGGTTTCTGAGGCTGTAAATCTTTACGGGAGCAGAATGCCTCATCTTTCTCCAGCGGAACCGCTGGTAGATTTGAACTGCTGTCCTTACAGTTCACAGCCTGATTCAGTACCATAGGTGAATAAAATCAAATCTTAACTTCTTTATGACATGTATTTTATGGTTTCAGGAAGGTAGGGCCTTTTACAAGAACACTGAAAAATCCAGGGAAGTTTGTTGTTGCTGTTGTTAGGTGCCACTGAGTTTGTTACTGACTCTTAGCGACTTTATGCACAACAGAACTAAACATTGCCAGACCTGTGCCATCCTCACTATTGCTGTTTGAGCCCAATTCTGCTGCTTCTATGTCAACCCATTTTGTTGGGAGTCTTCTTTTTTTCTAATGATCTTCACTTTACTACGCATGATGTCCTTCTCCAGGGACTGGTCACTCCTCACAACATGTGCAAAGTATGAAAAATGAACTCTTGCTATCCTGGCTTCTAAGGATCATACTACCTATACTTCTTCCAACACAGGTTTGTTTGTTCTTTTGGCAGTCCATGGTGCTTTAAATATTCTTCATCAACACCATAATTTAAATACATCTGTTATTCTACTGTCTTTCTTATTCATTGCATAACTTTCAAATTCATATAAGGCAACTGAAAATACCAAGGCTAGGGTCAGGTGCACCTTAAATCTCAAACTGGCAATTTGCTCTTTAATTCTTTAAAGAGGTCTTTTACAGCAGGTGTGCCAATGCAATACATCATTTGATTTTTTTGCTGCCTCTGTGAGTATTAATTGTATATCCAAGCAAAATGAAGACCTTCACAACTTCAATTGTTTGTCCGTTAAGGATGATGCTATTTGTTGGTCCACTTGTGAGGATTTTTTTTTTTTTTTTCTTTACACTGAGGTGCAATCCATAATGAAGTCATTGCTCTTCATCAGTAAGTATTTTAATTCTTCTTCATTTTCAATAAGCAAGATTTCATCAAATGCATGTCGCAGGTGATTAATGAGTCTTCCTCCATTCCTGATGCCACATTTATCTTCATATACTCCAGCTTCACAGAAAATCTGCTCAGCAGAGATTGAATAAGCAATGTGCAAGGATATAGCCATGACAAACAACTTTCCTGATTTTAAACAGTTCATATTCCCTTGTTCTGTTCTAACAACTGCCTGTTGGTCTATGTGCAGGCTCCTCATGGGTACAATGAAGTGTTCTGGAATACCAATTCTTCACAATGTTATCCATAGTTGGTCATGATTTACACAGTTGTAAGTTTGTATAGTCAATAAAGTGCAGTTAAACATCTTTGTGTTATACTCTGCTTTTAGCCAAAATCTATCTGATGCCAACAATGACATCTCCAGTTCCATGTCGTTTAGAGTCCGGCTTGAATTTCTGGCAGTACTCTGTCAATATATTGTTGCAACCATTTTGGAATTATCTTCAGCAAAATTTTACTTCCATGTGATATTAGTGATATTGTTAGATGAGTTCTGCATTCTGTTGGGTCACCTCTCTTTGGAATGGGCACAGATATGGATCTCTTCCCATCAGTTAGTCTGATAGTTATCTCCCAAATGTCTTGTCATAGATGAATGAGTATCTCCAGTGCTGTGTTAGTTTGTTAAAAGATTTCAATTTGTATTCTGTCAATTCCTGGAGCCTTGTGTTTTGCCAGTGCCTCCTGTGCAGTGGGGACTAGTTCCTTCAGTTCCTTGGTTCTTGATCATATGCCACCTCTTGAAATGTTTGAACAACAACATTTCTTTTTGGTACAGTGACTGTGTATTTCTTCCATCTTCTTTTGATGCTTTCCATGTCATTCTATATTTTCTTCATAGAATTCTTCAATACGTGAAAAGTTGTAGCTTGAAATTTTTCTTCAGTTCTTTCAGCTTGAGAAACGTTGATTGTGCTCTTCTCTTTTGGTTGTGTAGCTCCAGGATTTTGCACATATCATTATAATACGTTTCTTTGTCTTTTCAAGCTGTCCTGTGAAATCTTCTGTTCAGGTCTTTTATCTCCTCATTTCTTCCATGCATTTTAACTTCTCTATTTATATTCCAGAGCAAGTTTCAGAGTCTCTTCTAGTTTTTTTCTTTGCTTTCTGTCTTTTTAATGACCTTTTGCTTTCTTCCTGTATGCTGTTGCTGATGTCATATGATCAGTCATTAGTGTTTAATGCCTTAACTCTCTTTTTGGATGGTCTCAAATTCATATGAGATGTATATTGAAGATCATATTTCAGCTGTCATGGACTTGTTTAATTTTCTTAAGGTTCAGCCTGAACTTGCATTTGAGAAATTTATGGTCTGTTCTATAGTCTTTCCCTGGCTGCTGATATTGAACCCGTCTCTTCCCACAGATGCAGTCAATTTGATTCTTGTGTATCCCATCTGGTGAGGTTCATTCATACAGTCACCTTTTATGTTGTTTTTTAAAAAGGTGTTTGTAATGAATAAGTCATTGGTCTTGCAATGACTTAGTCTCTCTTAGTCTAGAAGCTCCTCTGGAACCTTGTTGTTAAGTGCCGTGGAGACAGGTTCCATGAACCTGTCCAACATGGGTGACCCTGATGGAATTTCAAATACTGGTGGCATAGCTTCCAGTATCATAGCAACATGCAAGCCACCACAGTATAACAAACTGACAAGTGATTTTTGGAAAGGGCTTACATATATTAACTCCATTAGTGCTTGCAGCAATCCTTATGAGCGGGGTGCTATCACCCCTCTTTTGTGAATGAAAAAATGGAGACAAAGAGTTTTGGTGAACTAATGAAAATCCCACAGCTAGTTTAATACAGAGTCTGGAACATGTTCTTAAGCCCAACATTATGTTGCCTTTCTTTTTACATTAAATCAAGTCACTGTGGTCTAGGCATATATCAGTGGAATCAAATGGTATTTTCATCACATTTTTTCATTTTTAAAATTTAATTCATATGAAAACATTTTTACATCTTAAATTTCTCTTAAGATTATTGTGCATTCTTTATATATACAATAAAGAATACAATCTAAAAACTGGGACAAGTGCTTCTAATATATAGATATAGATAGATATAGATATATTCTTACCCCACTCCAATGTATTTTGGAGGAACATTTTATTTTGATTTAGGAGAAATTTTATACAGCAAATTAATTTCTCAAACAACAACTTATATACATTTTGTTTTGTGATATTAGTTGTAACCCCTTCAATGCAGAAGTACTCTTCCCACTTTCTTCCTGGGTTCCATATGCCCATCTCTCCTAACCCTTCCTGCCTTGTGAATTTTTATTTTGGGCAAATGCTTTTCATTTAGTCAGTTCCCTTTGGTTAATTATTCTGATGAACTCTTTCCTTAGGAGTGTTATTGTCCACTTTTTAGGCTGTCTGTTGTTTGGCTGAAAGATGATCTCTGGGAGTATGTTCAGTACCAGGTTTAAAGAGTTCCTAAGGATCCTGGTGTGGCACTGTAGGATCAGTACTGGATGACTAACAGCAAGCTTGGGTGGTTCAATCCTACCAGTCATTACTTGGAA